GGCAGCAACGAGTACGACGACTACGAAGAGTGCGACGACGACGACCGCGACGACAACGAGGACGTATGCGAGGACGAGTTGGGCGACGGCGGCGACGACGACGACGTGGACGAGGACGCCGACGATTCCGACAACGACGAGTGCGACGACGATGACGAGAAAAACGACGACGACGAGTGCGACGACGACGACCACAACGACCACGGCGACGACGTTGTTGACGACCACGACGGCGACGACGAGTACGACGACGGCGTCGACGATGACGCCGAAGGCGATGATGACGACGAGCACGACGAAGACGACACATATGACGACGACGACCACGACGTTGTCAAGGACGACGGCGACGAGAAATTCGACGACTACGACGATAACGACCACAAACGGCCACGACTACGACGACGAGTATGGTCACGATTACCGCGACGACGACGACGACGACCGCGAGTACGACGACGATGACGGCGACCATCGCCACGACGAGGACGACGATGAGTACCACGACGACGACGAGTACCACGACCACGGGGACGACGGCGAGGATTTCGACGAGTACGACCACGACGACGACCATTGCAACGACGACGACGGCGACGATGACGACGACGGCGACTACGACGACGACCACGACGACGCGTACGACGACGACGACGACGACTACACGTACGACGACGACGACGACGACGACGACGACGACTACAAGTACGACGACGACCACGACGTCGCCGCCGAGTATGACGATGGTGACGAGTACGACGCCGACGACGACGACGGCGACGACGATGGCGGCGACGTCGAGTACGCCGACGACGACGAGGACGACGAAGACCACGACGACCACGACCACGACGACGACGACCACGACGACGACCTCGAGTACGACGACGACGAGTACGACGACGACCATGACTACGGCGACGACGAGTTCGACGACGACGACGACGACCACGACGACGACGGGTACGATGACGACGATTACGACGAGTATGCCGACGGCGACGACGACAAGGACGACGAGTACGACGACGACGATGACCACGACGACGACGACGAGTACGAAGACCATTGCGAAGGCGATCACGCCGACGACGACGAGTATGACGACGACGTCCACGAAGCCGACGACGAGTGCAACGACGATGGCCACGACGATTCCGACGACGACGACGACCATGATGACGACGACGAGTACGACGACCCTTACGAGTACGATGACTACGACGAGTACGGCGACGACGATGGCCACGACGGCGACGACGAGTACGACGAAGGCGCAGGCGACGTCGAGTACGACGACGATGACGCGTACGACGACGACGCTCACTGCGAGTACGACGGCGCCGACCACGACGAAGACGGTGATGTCGACGACCACAGCGGATACGACGAGTACGACGACGATTGTCTTTGCGGCGACGAACACGATGCCTACGAGGACCGGGACGACTAAGAGGACGACCGAAACGACGACGACAAGGAGTAAGACGAATACGATGACGACGAGTAAGACGACGACGACGACCATGACGACCACGTCGATGACGACGAGTACGGCGACGACGGCGTTGACGGCGAGTGCGACGACGACGACGACGACGAGTACGACGTTGACGACCACAGCATCGACCACGACGACCACGACGACGACGGGTACGATGATGACAAGTACGACGACGACGATTACGAAGACGACGATCACGACGACCTCGACGAACGCGACGAAGACGACCACCACCACGACGAAGACCACCACGACGACGAGTACGACGTCGACGATGACGAGTCTAATGACGACCTTGACGACAACGAGTACGACGACGACGAGTATGACGACGAACACCACGACGACCACCATGACGACGACGACGAGTACGACGAGGACGACGACGAGTTCGCCGACGACGACGACGTCGAGTACGACAACGACGACGAGGACCACGCCGACGACGACGACGATCCCGCGCCGTAGGGCGCCTCTGGGCGCTGCCGGAGCGCGACGCCGACTCCGACTCTGAGCGGACGGCGTGGACGAGCACGACGACGACGACGAGTACGACGACGACGGCGAATACGACGACCACGACGACGACTTCGAGTAAGACGACGACGACGAGGACAAACACGACGACAACGCAGACCACGACGACCCCGATGACCATGACGACGACGACGAATACGGTCACGACGACGACGACCACGAATACGACGCCCATGACGAGTACGACGACGACGACCACCACCATCACGACGACGTTGACGACGATTAAGACGGCGACGACGTGTAAAGACGCGTACGACGACGTCGAATACGACTAAGACGACGCGTGCGACTAAGACGACGAGTACGACGACGACGACAACCACGACGACACCGAGGACGACGAGAACGACGGTCACGACGACGAGTACGACGATGACGAGTACGACGACGACGACGACGACCACGACGACCACGACGACGAGTACGACGACGACAATGACGCGTACAATGACGACGACGGCGAGTACGACGACAAGTACGACGACGGCGCCGACAACCAACACGAGAACAACGAGGACGACGACGACGCCGACGACGACGACGACGACCACGACGACGACAGCGACGGCCACCCCGTCGACGACGACAACGACGACGACAACGACGACGATGAGTATGCCGACGACGGCGACGACGATGATGAGTACGACCTTGGCGTCGAACACGAGGACGACGTCGAGTACGACGACGACCACGACCACGACGACGACTACGATCCGGCGCCGTAGGGTTCGGGAGCGCGACGCCCACGCCGACTCGGACAGGACGACGTCGACGAGGACGACGACGCCAGCGACGAGTACGACGACGACCACGACGAGTACGGCGACCACGACAATGACGACAAGTACGACGACGACGACGAGTACGACGACGACGAGCACGACGACGACGACCATGGCGACCACGACGACGAGTACGGCGACTACGACGGCCACGACCACCACCCCCATGATGACGACGGCGAGTACGACGACGACGACGAGAACGCCGATGGCAACGATGACGACGGCGGGTGCGACGGCGACGAGTACGACGACGACGACGACGAGTTCCACGGCGACGAGTACGACGACGACGTCGAGTACGACGACGCAGTACGACGACGTTACGGCGGCGACGCGGAGTTGCGAGGACATGCGAGGCGCCCACGAACTGCTACCGAACCCGAGGCTCCCCCAACCAGACTCGCTCCGCTCTGGAGCGGCGGCGAGCGAGGGGGGGGGTGGAAGTGAGTAGGAGGAGGCCTTCTCAGAAGGCCGCGGGGCTTCTCAAAAGCCCTCCGGCCTTCTGCGAAGCGTTATGAGTTCGGAGGCAGCTACAGGGAGGTTTTCGTCGGAAGGATTCAGGAGGATTGAGCCCCATTGGGGGGCTGTTACGCCAGAGTGGGCCTCGGATCAAGCGGGAGTAAGCTGGATTCAGCGGGATTAAGCGGGATTAAGCGGAATTTCGGACCAGGGCTAAATCAGAATTTGACCTCCCAGAAGTTGCATCCGAAGAAGTTCTGCGTCTTCGGGGAAGGCTCAGAAAACCTCTCAGAAGGCTGGGGTGAACTTCCGAGCCGTCTGAGAAGGTCCGCCCCCTCTCACTTCCCCCCCGGGCCGGTCGCCGATTGGAGCCCATTGGGCTCTGGGCCTCGTGAGGGGTGCTCAGGAGGCCGTGGTGGCACCCCAGAGCTCCTGGGGACACCCTGGGCCTGGGACACCTCCTGCAGCACCCCAACTCTGCAGAGGGGCGGCTCACCCTCCTGCCTCTCCTGCAGGGCGGGCTCTGACCAGGATCTCGAAGCGACGCCGTGGCGACTCGGAAGGGCAGCGGCGTCGTCGTCCGCTCCGAATCGGCGTCGGCATCGCGCTCCGGAAGCCCCCAGAGGCGCCCCACGGCGCAGGATCGTCGTCGTCGTCGTCGTTGTCGTCGTCGTCGTCGTCGTCGTACTCGACGTCGTCCTCGTCGTCGTCGTGATCGTTGTGGTTGTCGTCCTCGTCGTCGTCGTCGTCGTCGTACTCGACATCGTCGTCATATTCGACGTCGTCGTCGACGTACTCGTCGCCGACGTCGTCGTCGTCGTTGTTGACGTCGTCCTCGTCCTTGTCATCGTACTGGGTAACGTCGTCGTCGTCCTCGCCGTCGTGGTGGTGGTGGTCGTCGTCGTCGTCGGCGTTCTCGTCGTCGTCGACGTCGTCGTCATGGTGATGGTGGTGGTCGTCGTCGTCGTCGTACTCGACGACGTCGTCGTCGTCGTCGGGGTCGGCGTTGGCGTCGGCGTCGGCATCGTTGTCGTCGTCATCGTCCTCGTCGTACTTGTCGTCGTCGACGTCATTGTCGTCGTCGTCGTGGTGCTCATCGTCGGCATACTCGTCGTCGTCGAGATCTTCATTGTAAAGATCATCGTCGTCGTACCCGTAGTCGTGGTCGTCGTGGTCGCAGTGGTCGTACCCGTAGTCGTCGCCGTCGTCGGCGTCGATGGGCGTCGAATCGCACGAGCCAGCAAGACGACGTGGGAGGCGCTCCCCTCCGGGCGGGCTTCGGGAACGCTCTGAGCAGGCCGCGGCGCCCGAGACACATCCTCCAGAATCGCCGCATCCTCCTCCTCCTCCTCCTCCTCCTCCTCCTCCTCCTCCAGAATCGCCGCTCCTCGATGTATTCTCCCCCGAAGGTAACTATCCTCGTCCTCGCTTCGTCTCATACCATGACCTGCCACAGAGAGCCACGGGCTCCAGAGTGGAGCGAATAGACTGGGGGCGCCCGACGCCCTGGCAGGCGCGCCCTCGAGGGCGCGAAGTCATTCGCGCTTTGCGGTTCGGCTCCGATTCCTCCTCGTCCTCCTCGTCTCCCCTCGGGGGCGGGGCGAGAGCGCCAAGTGATTCGCGCTCTGCGCCTCGCGCAGCGCGGCACGCGATGTTATACACGCCCCGTATGAAGGGGGGGGCGCGAGGGTCGCAGGAAAGGGGCCCGCATGGGCTCCACCCTGGGCGCTGGCTGCCAGGATGTTCTCTCGCCGCCGCCGACGAGATCGGTCGCTGCCGATCTCGTTGCGACCGCTCTGCTTCAGAATCGCTCGCGACCGATTTTGGACTCGGTCGCGGTCCGTCGCTCCAGATTTGGAGTGCCGACCGGTCGCTACCGATCGCGACCGAGCGAAATCCGGTATCCAACGATTTGGGCAGGGTGATCCTTCCGTTAGGCCCCTCGACGCGATGCGGATGGAGGTCCGAGGCTCAAGGCTTCTGCCGTCATTCGCCCTCGTTGTCCTCCAACAGCCCTCTCGTCGTCGCGGCCAGGCCCACTTCGGACGTTGGGCAAATCGCAACCCACTCGCCAGTGGAAAGCCACGACGAGGTCTCCAATACGCCAAGGACTCCGCAACCAGACGCGAAAGAAGCGGTCCGCAAATGAGTTCTGCCAAGGCTGGTGAGGCCAGTTCCGGAGGTCTGTCATCGTTTGCCCCTGGTCCGGCGCCCCTGATGGGGAGGAGGGCGGGGGACTCGAGGGCTGCAGGGGTGGAGGCACTGAAGGTGCCCCACGGGGGTGCCGAGGGCGCACGAAAGGTGCACGTTTCTTCATCTCCCCAGTTTGTTTGCAGGCGATCGCAAACATGGATCAAGGGGGCGTGGATCAGCGACGGGCCCCGTTCCGATGGGGCATCGCGGGCTTCCGCCGCCGAACGGGGCGGCACCGGCCGCATTTGGGGGGAGGGCATTTCCCACGATCCGTGGATTTGGCGACCGCGCGCCAAATCTATGGATCGCCAATCCATGTTCGCGCGCCCCCGATTGACATGCCCCCCCTAAGTCAAGCAGCGCCCGAGTTGCGGCGGGCCTCGGCGTGACTTGTCGGCGCGGCAGCGGCCCCGCCGCGGGCGTTCCGGGCTGAGCGCCGCCAGCGGCCCAGACGGCGTCGGCCGAGGTTGTTAAGCATCCGGCGACCGAGCGGAGCCGCCGACCGTTTTGCGCGGCCCACGCGGCGGCGCGAGCCAGCGCTCGGGCCGTCACGACAGGGAGCTGCCGCACGCCGGGCTTCTCAATCTTCTCAATAAGCGCCGGGGTGGTGTCACCCCCGCCGACAGCCCCACATCGACCCCGTCGCGGGCGGCCACCGCGCGCCGAAGGCGCTCCGACCCCCGTCGCGGCGCGACGACGAGGCGAGGTCGACCCCGGTCGGGGGCCACCCCACCCCGCTAATTTAGAATCCCGGAGTAGGCGATCTGGGCGAGGGAGGGCAGACATCGAAGAAGAAACAACGCCAGAACCATAAACATAAACTGCTGGCGCTCCGCGCGGATTTCTTGGATCCGCGCTGGTCCCCCCCCCCTCCGCGGCGCTTCCGGTGCCACCCCTGGCGCGCTCCGCGCGCCAGGGAGGGGGGTCCAGCGCAAATCCAAGAAATCCGCGCGAAGCGCCAACAGTTTATGTTTATAGCGTTCTTTTTTCTTCCAGGAAAGGGAGAAGAGTTCGTTCTGATGTTGTCGCCTTTGGGGGGGCCACCTGGCCGTAGAGTCAACGAGGGGCGCCCCCAGATCTTCGGCCGGCCGAGGTGATGGAGGAGCTCGACGGCTACACCCTGGTCAGGGGCATCTACGACAGCGGCACCCAGCGCTTCGGGGAGGAGCCACGACTGCGAGGAGGGAAAAATATTCACAAGCACAGAAAGGAGCGCCGATTCCACGAGCAGCTGGGAAACAGGAAAGGAGGGGAACGAGAATCGGAAACCGGAACATATACATTATCAGTGGCGGGTTGCTTTTTCAATTCCTTTACTTTTCGAGGGTCGGGGACGACGTCGGGGTGGTGTGGTGTATACTTGTCCCTGGATTTCCAAGGGAAACAACGAAAAATGATACACCAGGATCCCGTATACACCAGGATCCGCTCCCCAGTGCAAATTCCAATGCAGGGCCAGAGGTAGCGTCGGTGTATAGAGTTCGATTCCCGAGAGAACATCCAGGACATACCGAACAACATGTTGGGGGAGCCCAGGTCTTCGAATCGACTTGTGTGTGTGTCTTCCCGGCCCACGTTGGACTGCCTTGCCCCACCCGAGCGTCGGGGCCGACGATCATCAGGAGGGGACGCGACACACACACACACACACACACACACACACGCACACACACACACAGACACAGACACAATGAATTGTCGATTCCCCCGAAAATATGGGGAAATATGGGAAGTGGGGGGGAAGACAAAAACCCAGAACAAATGGGAAAATATGGGGAATCCTGCTATGTGTGTGTCCCAGGGCCCCTTCAGATCAGACAGAGCCGATCCAGGTTTAAGTCGTGCATGTCCCTCTGCAGGAGGAATACTCAAACATACTCCCCAAAAGATGGCCTGGGGACGATTTGTTTACTATTTATGGTAATCCCACCAGCCCTCCAGGCGTACACATTGTTCATTTCCAATTCTTCGGAAGTCCTTGAATTCCTGAGGGGCCAAAGTACTTCCATTCCTAATTGTTCTATCCTGGGCCTCTTCCTGGCCACTACGGGGCCAGGAACAATTGGAAACGAGCACAATTAGAAATGAGTACGATTAGGAATGAACGACGTGAATTATTCTTGGTAATCCCACCAGCCCTCTGGGCGTAGGTGGTCTGAAGGGATAGTTTCTTTCCTCTTACACAAAACCCCTCTTCCCCTTTGGGGAGGGGTTTATCATTGTTCCCTATTTATAAACACCCCCTCCCCCAGGCGACTGGGAGCCAACCAGGGACAATCAGGGCACCCCCCCCACCATCCCTTTTTAAAAAGCCATACAAAACACACTCTGTCTCCAAACTCGGAGCATGCGCAGCCAACCCGATGCGGCCTCCCCCTACCATCTCTACCAAAAAACAATACAGAGTACATTTGGCGGCGGCGGCGGCTGCTGCGGCGGCTGCGATTGCGGCGGCGGCTGCGGCGGTTGCGGCGGCGGCGGCGGTGGCGGCGGCGGCGGCGGGGGCGGCGGTGGCGGCGGGGGCGGCGACGGCTGCGGCGGTGGCGGCGGTGGCCGCGGTGGCGGTGGCGGCAGCGGCTGCGGCGGCAGCGGCTGCGGCGGCGGCGATTTGGCAGCGGCGGCGGCGGCGGGGGCGGCAGCGGATTGGCCCCCAGCAGCTGCCCATCCAAAGACGACTGCTGAATATGCTGAGGCTCGGGCCAGACTCGGGTGCTACGTATGTGTTGTGAGGGCGGGCGGGGGTGAGCGAGACGGCCTGCGGGCGGGGAGGGGGTCGTGATCCCTCCCCCTACCCCTCCCCTGGACTTGTGGGGCGGCTGCCGCGGGTGGTCGGAGGGCCTCTTTTTTCGGCCCCTGGGAGGGCCATTTCTTGACACCTCTCACGAGGATCGGGTGATCGAGGCCCTCCCTCCTTTGATCGATAGCATCGCAGGTTGCCCCAAAAGGCGCTCCAAGGCTGCCCCAAAATGGTCCCAAGAGGGTCCCAAGAGGCACCCGAGAGGCCCCCAAGAGGCCCCCGAACGGCTTCACAGATCCCAAGATGACCTCCAAGATGGCTCAGATAGCCCAAGCTGGCATCATGATGGTTCCCAAGATGCTCCAAAGGGCCCCAAGACCGCTCCAAGAGTGCCCAAGAAGAGGCTTGCCAGCTCCTGAGGAGGGAGCTGAGTTGGGGACCCCCCCATCCTGTAATCGATGGCCTCCAAGATGATTCCAAGAAGCCTTCCAGGGTTACCAAAAAGGGTTCCAAGAGGGCCCCCAAAACTCCCAGAGAGCACCAGCAGCAGCAGCAGCAGCAGCAGCAGCAGCCGCAAGAATACGTCTAGATGGTTCCATGAGTCTTCGTCCGCGTCGTCCTTATCCTAGTCCTCGTCCTCCTCGTCCTCGTCCTCAACTGCGTCCTCGTCCTGCTCGTCGTCGTCGTCGTCCTCCTCCTCCTCCTCTTCCCCCTTTTCCTCCTCATCTTCCCCTCGCCCCCACGCGGCCCCCAGGGATGGCCCGAAGAGGCCTTCCAAGGTCACCCCTTTGCTCCCAGAGTCTCGGTTCACCCTGGTTGCTCGCTTTGTTTCCCTAGATGTGTCTCTTCTTTCATTATCCCGTCAGCTCTCGATGGCAGGACTTCTGAATGGGCTGGTGGGGATATATATATATATATATATATATACAGCCGCGGGCGGAAGCGCCAGCGGCGGCGAGTAACGGTCGGGCTGCGGCCGAAACTGTACTTGGCCGGACGCGCGCGCGGGCCGCGGCCGGCGCCAGGGCGGCGGGTGCAAGGGTGCTGCAACCCAGGGAGTCTGACGACCAGGGACCAGCACCCAGGGAACAGTAATTACGCTGCCAAAGTGGCGCGATGCAAATACCCCCAAAGTGTCAGAGGCCATAGCCAAGCAGTACGCCGCTTGAGACACTATCTGAACAGTAGGGAGTCTGCCAACCTCGGCGCGGGAATGGCGTACCAAGAGGTCCCAGGGTGTCTGCCATGCTCAAGCAGAAGCGACCGAGAGACACGCAAGCTGTCGCCAGACTGCATACCGTAGAGAGAGGTTGGACTCTGACAGCGCCAGCGAACCGTCGCAGCTTCAGAGTACGCACCAACGCAGCCAAAAGGCGCGAAATTCGTGGTGTCAGTAACCGAACGAGCACGTCAGGCCCGGGAGACAACCTCGAATAGATGCGTTCGCAAGCGAGCCACCAGGATCCTGGTGGGGATACGCGAAGCGTGAAGAATTTTTGGGTAGTGTTCGATTATGTTTTCTTTTTCATCCCAAGTCAGCCTGTATGGGGCGGACATGCCCGACCTAAATCCAGGCGCGGACCACCAGTCAGCGCGAGCCCCTTCAGCAACTCCTTGACCGATGCCACGTCGCCCGGCCAGGTTTTGCCTGACTGCTTCTGGGCCCCCTGGCGTGGTAAACGGGTCCGTCGGGCAGGTCCAGGTCGAGCATTCTTGAGATCCGATGTTGCAAAAGCATTGCAACATCGCAAAAACTCACGACCAGACCCCCAGACCCCATCTTTCTGCGTCGCTTTGAACTTTTTCCCCACATCCAAAGTGGGGTTGTTGTTGTCTCTGCACACCCCGCGCAGGAACACTCACCCCCCCCCTCTCCTCTTCTGCCTTCGCACACTCACTCACTCACTCATCATCATCACCACTCACTCACACGCACACTTACTCACACTCTCTCATCATCAACATCAGCATCATCACTCGCGCTCTCTCATACGCTCAGTCACTCACATACTCATCATCACCATCATCATCATCATCATCAGCATCATCATCATCATCATCACTCGCACTCGAGGAAGTATCAGGCGGGAGCCTCGTTTGTGAGTGAATTGTGAGGAAGTCTCAGGCGGGAACCCCCTCCTTATGGGGCCCGCACTTCATGTTCGAATCCGAGCGGGTCATCCGCAACGTGCAACTGTCGTCACTTTTGGCTTCTTGAGACCTGAATATGGAGGAAGTCTCGAGCGGGAGCCTCGTCTGTGAGTGAATTGTGATTAAGTCTCAGGCGGGAGGCCCCTCCCTATGGGGCCCGCACTTCATGTTCGAATCCGAGCGGGTCCTCCGCAACGTGTAACTGTCATCATTTTTGGGCTCTTGAGGCCTGAATATGATGGAAGTATCAGGCGGGAGCCTCGTCTGTGAGTGAATTGTGAGGAAGTCTCAGGCGGGAGCCCCCTCCCTATGGGGCCCGCGCTTCATGTTCGAATCCGAGCGGGTCATCCGCAACGTGCAATTTTCGTCACTTTTGGGCTCTTGAGACCTGAATATGGAGGAAGTCTCGAGCGGGAGCCTCGTCTGTGAGTGAATTGTGAGGAAGTCTCAGGCGGGAGGCCCCTCTCTATGGGGCCTGCACTTCATGTTCGAACCCGAGCCGGTCATCCGCAACGTGCAACTGTCGTCACTTTTGGCTTCTTGAGACCTGAATATGGAGGAAATCTTGAGCGGGAGCCTCGTCTGTGAGTGAATTGCGAGGAAGTCTCAGGCGGGAGCCCCCTCCCTATGGGGCCCGCGCTTCATGTTCGAATCCGAGCGGGCCATCCGCAACGTGTGACTGTCGTCACTTTTGGGCTCTTGAGGCCTGAATATGGAGGACATATCAGGCGGGAGCCTTGTCTGTGAGTGAATTGTGAGGAAGTCTCAGGCGGGAGCCCCCTCCCTATGGGGCCCGCACTTCATGTTCGAATCCGAGCGGGTCATCCGCAACGTGCAACTGTCGTCACTTTTGGGCTCTTGACAGTTGAATATGGAGGAAGTCTCGAGCGGGAGCCTCGTCTGTGAGTGAATTGTGAGGACGTCTCAGGCGGGAGCCCCCTCCTCATGGGGCCCGCACTTCATGTTCGAATCCGAGCGGGTCATCCGCAACGTGCAACTGTCGTCACTTTTGGGCTCTTGAGACCTGAATATGGAGGAAGTCTCGAGCGGGAGCCTCGTCTGTGAGTGAATTGCGAGGAAGTCTCAGGCGGGAGCCCCCTCCCTATGGGGCCCGCAGTTCAAGTATAAGTGAATTGTGAGGAAGTCTCAGGCGGGAGCCCCCTCCCTATGGGGCCCGCGGATCATGTTGGTAATCCGAGCGGGTCATCCGAAACGTGTAACTGTCGTCACTTCTGGGCTCTTGAGGCCTGAATATGGAGGAAGTATTAGGCGGGAACCTCGTTCACTTTTGGGGTCGTGAGACCTGAATATGGAGGACGTCTCTAGCGGGAGCCTCGTCTGTGAGTGAATTGCGAGGAAGTCTCAGGCGGGAGCCTCCTCCCTATGGGGCCCGCACTTCACGTTCGAATCCGAGCGGGTCATCCGAAACGTGTAACTGTCGTCATGGTTGGGCTCTTGAGGCCTGAATAGGAGTGAATTGTGAGGAAGTCTCAGGCGGGAACCCCCTCCCTATGGGGCCCGCACTTCATGTTCGAATCCGAGCGGGTCATCCGAAACGTGTAACTGTCGTCACTTTTTCCCGACATCCAAAGTGGGGTTCTTGTTTTTGTTTTCTCTGCACACCCCGCGCAGGAACACTCACCCCACCCCCTCTCCTCTTCTGCCTTCGCACACTCACTCACTCACTCATCATCATCACCACTCACTCACACTCACATTCACTCGCACTCTCATCATCAACATCAGCATCATCACTCGCGGTCTCTCGAACGCTCAGTCACTCACATACTCATCATCATCATCATCCCCATCATCATCATCATCATCATCATCATCATCATCATCATCATCATCATCACTCGCACTCTGTCACACGCTCACTGATTCACATACTCACTTGGAGGAAGTCTCAGGCGGGAGCCCCGTCTGTGAGTGAATTGTGATTAAGTCTCAGGCGGGAGGCCCCTCCCGATGGGGCCCGCAGATCACGTTGGTAATCCGAGCGGGTCATCCGAAACATGTAACTGTCATCATTTTTGGGCTCTCGAGGCCTGAATATGGAGGAAGTATTCGGCGGGAGCCTCGTCTGTGAGTGAATTGCGAGGAAATCACAGGCGGGAACCCTTCCCTATGGGGCCCGCAGATCATGTTGGTAATCCGAGCGGGTCATTCAAACCTTGTAACTGTCGTCACTTTTGGGCTCTTGAGGCCTGAATATGGAGGAAGTATCAGGCGGGAGCCTCGTCTGTGAGTGAAATTGTGAGGAAGTCTCAGGGGGCAGCCCCCTCTTTACGGGGCCCGCAGATCACGTTGGTAATCCGAGCGGGTCATCTAAACCCTCTAGCTGTCGTCACTTTTGGGCTCTCGCGCTGCCAGAACGCCACTCCCGGGCCACATTGTGCATGCCCGGAGCCAACTGTAGGCCACTTCGTGTTCTTCGTGTTCCCAGAACACCATTCCCGGGCCACATTTTGAAACCCCGGAGCCAACTGTAGGCCACTTCGTGTTCTTCCTGTTAATGCTCTCCCGCGCCACGTGCGTGCGGAACATGCTGATCCCGCGGCCGCCGCCGCGGGAGTTCGTGGAGCGAGGGCCGCCAGCGTCCTTGCGGAAGGCGCTCCTGGAGTTCGACAAGAGAGCGGTTTTGTCCAGGGCGGAGGCGAAGCAGCTCGCGGCAGAGCTGGGCTTCGTGCTGCCCGCCTGAGCGCGGCTGCGCCCCGCTCGAAGCCCGCGGGGTTGTCCCAACGGCTTGGTCTTGCGCGCAAGCGGCTCGCGGGGTTGTCCCGACAGCCTGGCCCGCGGGGTTGTCCCAACGGCTGCGCGACGTGGCCATCGGAGAACGCGCCTGTGCTGGCCGAGGCGGCGACGGCTCCGAGGAAAACCGACATGCGCGCTCGTGCAATGGAAAGGCGAGGCGGTGGCGGGGCGCGAAAAAAACAGGAGGGCGAGGTCGGGGGCAACGTAGGGAGCGGGGGGAGGGCCCGCGCCAGGGCGAGAAGAAATATACGCAGAAGAGACAGTCAGGACGCCTCACCAACCACGAGGACGACGGTGAGCGTTTTTTCCAGATTTGCCCAGAGGATTCTCATGTGGGGTCCTTCCGTCAGAGTAATTCTTTTATTGATTCAGGCAAGTTCACTTGCGTGGCATTCCCCCCCTTTTGCCTCTCTTCAGACGACTACTGGCGTGCCCGTGCTTTTCAACTTGCGTGGTTTCTGCACGTGCGAATCGTTTACGGTTTACTGTAGGTTCAAGCCCCCCCCGCCCATGCAAGTAAATGTGCTGGAGTTTGAAAAAAACATGCTCTTTTCGTGCCGGATCGATCCGTGAGGGTCCAGGGGCCCAATCTTCAGCGAAAGCGCCCGGTTCGAAAGAATCGAGTCGCCAGGATCTCAGGGCAGGTCGGGCAAGCTCAGGGCGAGGATGACTTGCTCCAGGGCGTCCTGGCACGCTCATGGAGCGTTCTGGAGGAGCGCCCGGGCCAGGCGTTGCCAGAGGTGCCGCCGCGCCTTCGCTCTTCTCGCGGCTGGGGCCAGGGAGCGGGGCTATACGCTTTCTCCGTTACCGTACCCGGGGCATCCGGCCACTCCAGTTTCCTCAATGCACGGGCCCAGGAGGTCCGGATCGCTTCCCTGGGGCCCGTGTTGCGCCCCGAGTCGTTTTGGAACGGTCCCGAGGCCCGGCCGAAGATAGCCCAGATCCCGCCGCTCCAATATTGATGCGGCGCGTCGGATGTCGGGCGGCCGGGTGTCGCTGCAAACTCTGGTCCGAACGCACCTCGGGAGAGGCCCGGGGAGTTGCGCTGTACAGTCAACCCGCATCGTAAGGATGGGCGGCCTCCCCAAGGGTACCCCTGCATCCTTGCCTCCTCGGTCCATCCTTCGCCGCTTGGCCGCGCCCCGCTCGAAGAGCTGCGAAATGGGCGTCCAAGGCCCTTGCATCCTTATCACGCATCCTTCCTATACTGGTTGACGGTATCCGTATTTGTTTGTCCCCCCCCCCGCATGCCAGGCCGTCCTGGGCCGCCCCCCTCCGGCTCGGGTGCTGCCAGCGGTGCCCCCGGCCCAGGGGATCTCCAGGATGCCCACGGAAGGCCCCCGCCGCCTCCCGAGCACATCTCGCGAGGCCCAGACTGCCCCAGAGCTACAGTAGATGGACAGTAGATGCGAACCCTTACACATTCGAGGGGGACTCTAAATCACCCCCGCGCCCCCGACCTCAATGTTGATCTCGGTAGAGGCGGTGCTTTGGGGTTCGAATATTTCTGTCCACTCGCGCCCCTCCCCGTCGCTACGCCATCAATATTAATGTCGGGGGGTCTGGGGGGGCATCTTGGGACAAAGCGTTCGAATATAATGTCCATGTACGGTAGCACGAAGCGAAGATAGGGGGACGCCTTGGTCTCACGGGCACCTGTAGCACCCCCCCGATCTGGAACATGTCGGGTTGCCCAGTGCCTCCTCCAGAGCAGGCAGGCTCTCGGATATCCTGGTAGTGTGCCCTCATCCGAACTCATCCTCATCCTGCTCTGGCCTTGTCGGCGGAGGAGTTCGAGCGCAACATGGGCAGCACCGACAACGCCTACATCATACAGCCCTTCGGGGAGCCGTGGGTGCTCGTCGGGCTTCACGACGAGCAGTTCAGCGAGGACCTCATCGACACCCTGGGGCCGCAGCGCGTCGCAAGGATCGGCCAGGTCGTGGTGCAGTACTACGACGGGAAGCAGCTGGCCGCGCTCGAGACCCTCGTCCAGGCCCGCTCGGGAATGTCGGCCATGCGGCACGTGGAGGAGAAGCCGCCGCTGCTCGTGCACTGCTCCGTGCCAATGGCCAAGACGCTGAAGGCGAGCCTCTCAAAGGAGGCGCTGGAGAATTGCAGGATTTGAAGACGAATAATGTCATCTGAATGATACTAGTTAGACTAAGAATGATGATGATGATGATGATGATGTTGTTGATGATGATGATGATGCTGATGATGATGGTGCTGCTGATGGTGATACTGGTGATGATGGCAATCCTATGATTCATTTTACTAGGCCTACTAACGGTAAAGAGTAATGAAAATAAGATCAATACTGCTAAATACTGAAAGCACGTATAATAACAGAGTAACCCAGGGAACTACGAACAATACTTGCAATATCGCTAATTCAAATCAATAGTGATACTAACATCTGGAGTAGTAGTGATGACAGTAACACTGGTAGTATATGACTACTGCTCAGTGTAAACAAGTAATATAATGCATATGATATGGCGATTACTACTACTACTACTGCTACTACTACTACTACTACCACTACTACTACTACTACTACTACTACTACTACTACTGCTACTGCTACTACTACTACTACTACTACTACTCTTACTACTACTACTACTACTACTACTACTACTACTACTACTACTACTACTACTACTACTACTACTACTACTACTACTACTACTACTACTACTACTACTACTACTACTACTACTACTACTACTACTACTACTACTACTACTACTACTACTACTACTACTACTACTACTACTCTTACTACTACTACTACTACTACTACTACTTCTACTTCTACTTCTACTAGAACAAGTACGAGTACCACCACCACTACTACGACTACTACTACTACTACTACTGCTTCTACTTTTACCTCTACTAGAACAAGTACGAGTACCACCACTACCACTACTACTACTACTACTACTACTACTACTACTACTACTCCTACTCCTACTCCTACTCCTACTCCTACTACTACTACTACTACTACTACTACTACTACTAGTAGTACTACTACTACTACTACTACTACTACTGCTGCTACTACACATACTTACAATACCACGAATAACAACATGCATCTTCAAGAATGATACTCTGGATAATGATAATGGTACGAAGAAGAAACTGATACAGTAATACAGCGAAGCAGCTAACAATAACGAGAAGCCGCTTACAGATTAATTGTCGGAGCGCCGCGTGGATCTCTTGGACCGCCCTCCGGCGCCACCCCTGGCGCGCGGAGCGCCAGGGAGAGAGGTCCAGCGCCGATCCGAGAACTCCGCGCGGGGACGGCCAAGAGGCTCTGTTTGTGCGGCTCGTCCTTCCTCCCAGGATCGTGGAGATCAGGAAGGGCAGCGAGCTCCGAATGGGCGAGACCCGCTCCCTGAAGTTCGAGCTGGTGCAGACCCCTCTGGTGCCCGAGGGCGTCGTCGCCTTCGACGCCGAGAGCGGCACGCTGTTCTCGGGGAAGTTCTTCAGCTGCCACGCCGCCGCCGAGGGGGACGCCTCCTTTGACGCGCCGGGCCTCGCGGGCTGGGAGCAGTTCTCCGAGGACTCGGGGCAGCACAGAGCGGCAGGCCTCTTTGTCGGCAGCGCTGGCGGTCGCAAGCGCGTCTGCAGTGCTGGCGGGTCGCGCTGGGCACTGAGGCACACCAAGACGGGTGGGAAAGAAAGAAGAGGGCGGCCGCGGAGGCAGAAGGCCCAAACCGCCCGGAGTCGGCGGGGCGGGAGGAGGAGGAGGAGGAGGAGGAGGAGGAGGAGGAGGAGGAGGAGGAGGAGGAGGAGGCCTCTTGGGCGCCTCTTGGGCACTCTTGAGGCCTCCTGGGAGCTTCCTGGGTGCCTCTTGGAGGGTTTTTGGGTGGCCTTTGGGGGGAGCTTTCGGGAGGCCTCGGGCACCGCGAGCTGGTGTGCTGCCAGGTTGGCGCTGTCGGCCCAGGCTGTCGAAGGACGGACAGCGACGACCCCAGTCGCGAGGCATGTCCACAGCGAGTGGAGCGCAGGCGAAATGCCGAGTTGTTCGTCAGGACCTCGTGAGGCAAACGTCATCGAAACTGGCGATCTGAAGGGGGCCAGGCTCCGCTGGGGGCCTCCAGTGGAAAGGCTGCCGTGAAGCCACGCCGATATGTTTGGGTGGGAGCGAGGGCAGCAGAGCAGAGCCGGGCGAGGCGCGCCCCCTGGTCCGGGCCTCGCCGAAGAGCAGCGCGACGACGGGTGGCATACGTCCGGGCCCGCGCGACGCGAAAAACAGCGGCACAGACTTTGTACGTCGGCGGCCAGGCAGAGTCACTGCGCTGGCGAGGAAGCGAAGCGGGGCTGCCGTTCAGCGAATTGTACCACCATGCAGGAGGGGAGACGAAGACAACGAAGCGACGGCCGAGAGGAGGAGGCGGAAGCGGGCCTGGGCCGATCGCTCAGGGGAACGGGACGTTCCCAGGGGCGCGTAAACAACGGCACACACACACGCACTCGCACACGCACACGCACACGCACGCGCACACACAGACACAGACACAGACACAGACACAGACACAGACACAGACACAGACACAGACACAGACACAGACACAGACACACACACACACTCACACACACACACACACTCACGCACACAAACGGCCAGGAACTTTGGCTCAGCGTGTCGCGCCGCCGGTTCTGGCCCACCGCGCTTCGTTGCGACACGGCATCCACGTCCCGTCCCAGTCCCCAGGCGTCAGCACCCCGAGCTCTTCGCAGCTTCCCGCCCCGCGGAGCGGAGCGACACGTTGTCCGCTCGCAGGGCACAGAGTGTCACCAGGGCCGCCACCGCGACGCGCTGAAAGCAAAAGTTCCCGACCGTAGGCGCTTTGGGCCGCCGCGCGGGTTTCTCGGAGCCGCGTTCGGGCCCCCTCCCCTCGGCCACCGCAGAGGGGGGTAGGGGGAGGGTGGAAGGCTTCTTAGAAGGAGGCTGCTTCTTAGAAGGCGCCAGCCTCACATCTATAGATCAGGCCCGCGCCTTCTGAGAAGCAGCCTCCGTCTACGAAGCCTTTGCCCTTCCCCCCCAACCCCCCCTCGTGCGCGCCGACAGCCCTGGGCGCCGCCTCCGCCCCTGGCGCGCTCCGCGCGCCACGGGAGGGTGGGTCCAGCCAGGAGATCCGCGCGGGGTGCCGAGAGTTTCTTCCTGTGCAGTTATTTGCTCCTCGACTTGTTCGATTCTGCAGTTGTTTGCTCGTCGACTACGGTGGTGGCACTGGTTAAGGAATGTGCCCTATGAGGCTTCAGACCCTGGAGGATTCCTTAGCTGATGAGGGCGGTGGCGATACCCCTGGCCGATACACAATTGGAGTTCCACTGGGTTGCAGACCCCGGATTCCTTATCCAAGGCTTCTTTATTCAATACCTCCGCCGTAATCGTCATCGTCATCGTCTGGAGGAGTGGTTCCACTTCTTCGACTGCTACTTCTTCACCGAGCGGGCGCAGAAGGCAATGCGGAGGATCTTCATGCTGGCCAACGCGCTCAAGGGGCCCGACGTGCAGCAGCTGGCGCCGATGCACGGGCCGATCGTGCGCGAGCAGTGCTGGAAGCTGATGGCGAAGTACGAGGCGTGGACGGAGGCGAAGCTGCAGGACGGCGCGGAGGGAGTGGGGCGCGAGACCCTGAGATTCGGGCGATGCGGTCCGTCCACTCCGCGCGTTTTCGCCCGGTTTCGCCACCTGGGGCCCTCACAGATCGATCCGGCTCGGACCATGCCGCAGAAAGATGGGCTTCAGAGCTCCAGCCGTGATTGCTCGCGAAAGGTCGCACCCTTTTGCGCAACGTCGGACCTCCGGAGAGACGTCTGACCGTGCGCGCTGGAGAGCATTTCCTATTCCCGTGCGATGACAGGCGTTACCGTGGGGGGGGCGGGGGAGGAGGGGGGAGCGGTAACGTTAGAGGGCAAAACATCCACCCCCCATAATAACCACACCGACACGCGAAGCCGTGTACTAAACGCTCCCGCTGAAGGCATCGAACAGGGCAGGGCTGTTTAGTAAACGCCCAAGGTCGTTTGGTAAACGCCAATTGTCTGATCCGGGTGGTTTTTCCTCCCTTAAACCGTCGCGTTTCGCGCCAGCGCCGTCTGGGAATGCCCAGGAATGACCGAGGACGACTCGGAGGTCAGCACGGCGACTCGTGGCGTGGCCCGGGGCGGGGGGAGCGGCCCGGGCCATCAGCAAAACGGCCGACATCGCTCAGCCACGTGCAGAGGGGGGTTGGGGGAGGGGGAGAGCTTCGTAGAAACACCCCTCCTTAGAAGCCGCGGGCCTTCTCTATAGATGTAAGGCCGGCGCCTTCTAAGAAGCAGCCTCCCTCCAAGAGGCCTCCCCCCTCCCCCTATCGCGAAGAAGCAGCGGCCTCCTAAGGAGCAGCCTCCTTCTGGGAAGCCGGCCTCCTTCTAAGACGCCTCCTTCTAAGAAGCCTCCCCCTCTCCCCCTTTGTACGGGCCGCTATCGCGAAACATATTTTGGATGGGGCAATCATCGCCACCCCCTTGGATCCGCTGGGGGGGTTGGGCACGTGCTGTCGGAACGGGTGGAGGGGGGGTGGAGGAGGAGGAGAAGGAGGAGGGGAAGGAGGAGGATGAGGAGGAGGAGACGGTGGGTGAGAGGGGGGGGATGGGCAAGCTCCGTCGGAATGTTAGTCCCCCACCCCTCGATTTATATCCCATCCAGAATCAACAAAACGCTCTCCTGGGAGAGGTTGTGAGGGGGGAGTGCTCGCCCCTGAAGCATGCGGGCCCCAGGCCCCAGGCCCCAGGGCTCCTCCCTCCCTCCTCCCTCCTCCCTCCTCCCTCCCCCCTGCCTCCCTCCTCCCTCCTCCCTCTTCCCTCCCCCCTCCCCCCTCCTCCCTCCCTCCCTCCCTCCCTCCCTCCCTCCCCCCTCCCTCCCTCCCTGAGCCCTCCCTCCTGAATCCTCCTACTTGCAGTCCGCAACTGGTTCCTACTCCTACTACTCCTGAATCCTCCTCCCTCCCTCCGTCCCTCCGTCCTCCTTTTCTTTCCCTTTATAAATAACACCTCACTGTCGCACCCCAAGGTCCCTCGAACGGACGAACTGGGCGTTTCGTCTGATACTTCCGCACCATGCTTGAATTCTGCAACAGCTTTACGGATAGAGGGCGTGCCGTTTTCAAAATGTGTTCTCGCTTCAGCGCCGCGCACATCTTCCCTTTTTTAAGAAGTGCAAGAATTTCCAGATCGAGGGCGGGTGGTATTCAACATGTGGCTCTCGCCCTAGCGCCGCGCACATCCGTTGTATATTTTTTCAAGAGCTTCACATATGGAGGGCGGGTGGTTTTCAACATGTGGTTCTCGCCTAAGCACTGCGCACATGCATGTTCAAGATGCAAGAACTTCACAGATGAAGGGCGGGCCGTTTTCAACATGTGATTCTCGCTTCAACGCCGCGCATATCCGTGTTGACATTGCAAGTTGTTCACGGATGGAGCGCGTTTTTGTTCAAAACCTAGCTCTTGTTTCTGCGCCGCCCACATTCGTTGTCAGAATTTACAGCAGTTACAATGATTCCAATGGTGAACGTAGCAGGAATGGTGTTTTGGCACGATGTCGGATTGTCAGGGCGCAACAGCTATGTCGATTCGTGGTGTTGAAGTTCCAGGAATGGCGTTCTGGCACGATTCAAGACCGTCAAGACGCAACAGTAACGGTGATTCGCGGTGCTGAAGTCCCCTGGAATGGTTTTCTGACACAGCTCAGGACTTGTAAACGGTAAACGGTTGCTTACCGACGGGGCATTTCCGTCAGTGGTATTGAATTTTTGGGTACTTCTTTCCAGTGATATTGAATTGTTGTAGGGGCCTGTGAAGAGGAAACTTGGAGGGAAGGCTTGATTGCAATATCGTTGATGGGTCTTGGGCTTGCACTGGTCCCCCTCCTTGAAGAGCTGGTAACGGGGAAGCCCCTGGAGCTCTCAGCGCCTGTTACCCTTAGGACCGGTGCGTCTCATGCATCATGCCAGACCACGCCCTCGGCAGCAGTACCCGCTGGAATCTGCGGGGTGCCGCCAGCTCCTGTGGATTCGGCCTCTCCGCAGTCCAGGCATGCGACCGGAGATGCGGCCTTCACGCAGCAGCATCTGGGCTCTGGGCTCCGTAGACGGGGGCATCGTAAACGGGGGCGTATGGAAAAGCTTGAGTCGCCGTTTAGCCATGCCCCAGTTTGGTGGCCCTGATCTGTGAATGAAATCTCGGAGGCAAGTACCCACCCGATGTATTTCAATGTGGGCGCTTGCTGGAGAGCAGCTGCATATTACGTTGCACCTTCGGGGGGCCCTGCCTGTCCTGCAAATCGCGGTCTCTTTCCGTACATGCAGCGGGGCCGACCAGCGTGCGACAGGGGCTCGACGCGGATCCGGCATGGTTTCGGCGTGGATTCGACGCGGGCTCGATGCGTTCGACGTAGATTCGACGCGGATTTAACGCGGATAGCGACGCGGTGGGACAGACAAGGGCCCCCCCGACGATGCAACAAGCAATGGGAGCGTCTATTAAGGAATGTGCTCAGACGGCTTCAGACCCTGGAGGGTTCTTTGTATCATGAGGGCGGCGGTGACATCCATGGCCAGGCCTCCATTGGTGTTCCACCGGGCTTTCAGACCCTGGACTACTTATCCAACGGTTCCTTGTCCAATGCCCCCGCTGTATTTGTAGTTGCAAGAAGACATAGCGCAAACGCACAGGAGGAGCGCCGGGAGAGCAATGTGCTCGTCATGTACGCCAGCGCCTACGGGCACACCAAGACGCTCGCCAACTCGATCGCCAAGGGCCTCACGATGGCGGGCTGCCGCACCAAGAAACTGGACTTGGAGCACGTGTCTGGGCAGGAGGTGGTGGGCACAGTCAAGATCGGAACGACCGAACTGGCTACGGAAAGGATGGCACGAAGACCGACAGCTGTTCCTGTTCATGTTGAACCGGATTCGCTGTCAGTGTCCCCGCGGATGTTGTCCATTTGAGACAGACGGCGGGCTGACCAACAGCGGCCGCTGTCGGTGTTGGACAACATTTGTTGATGGCCATCGTACCCATGCTTCCGAACTTACTTCGGGAATCCAACAAAGCTTGGCATTGCTCGGACGCGTGCATTTTTCAGCGGGGGCCATCGAGGACCATCTCAGGTCACCTTGCGAACAAGCACGCGCACGAAGCCGAAACATGCACGGGGCATGGACGTCCGAACGATGGCGGGCAAGAGGCTGACACGAAGACCAGCCCTCGGAAGGGGCTCGCCGCTCCATGGGTGCCCGGCCAGTGTCCGTGCCCGTGGCGCTCCTCGTGGGCCCAGGCGCCTCCGGGGCCCGAGGGCCGGCTTCGCTCCCCGTCCAGGGCTCCCGGCGGTGGTGGCAGCGTGGTTGCAGCTGTCCTGCCGTTGGCGTCGCAGGTGCCGGGTCTCCCCCCCCCCGAAGGCGCAAGGGACTTCGAGATGGCCAGTGCAGCGTCCGTCATGCTCTTGCTGGCAGTCTGTCGCCCTTTTCTTCTCAGCCTGGCTCCTGACGGGAGGCGGCATTCGCGTCCTGACGCCTCCTGTTGAGTCGTGCTGTTCGCTCCCATCTTCTCTCTCTCTCTCTCTCTCTCTCTCTCTCCCCAACACAACAAAAAAGTGTAGGCACCTTTCTTCAAGGGAGGACAGATCGCCCGGACCGGACAGCTCGCGTCTACTGAACGGCCCTGGAAACAGCTCTGCCCTGTTCGATGCCTTCTTTGGGCGCGCTTACCAAGGGCCTCGCGGGGGCCGGGGTGGTTATCGTCGGGGTGGATGTCCTGCCCTCTTTTTCTTGGGATGCGTGGCACCGCGCTGGCCGACTGCAGCTGCCCAGGTGGTCAAGGCGCTGGAGGAGTGCGACGGGTTCGTGCTGGGCAGCCCCACGCTGGGCGGCGAGTGCCCCACGCAGGCCGGGAGCCTGGGCCAGCGCCAGCTTGGGCCTCCCCGATGGGGTCGAAGCGGGTGGGGGAGGAGGATCGCGCCGCATCGCCGCTGCATCGGCGATGCGGCTCGATGCAGAGCCCGACTTTCGCCACGCCCATGGCGCCAATGCATCGGCGATGCATTAGCGATACAGCGCGATCCTTCGACCCCGTTCTACTCGGACCCCAGGGAGACCAGAAGCCCTTTCGATTGTCGCCTCGCATCGATTCGATCTCGAGGATCTCGATCTCGATCCGGACCGACGCCGCACAGTTCGACTTCGGCTGGCACGCGCGGGGGAGACTGACGTGCAACTCATCGGACCCACCGCCAACTTCGAACATTTGGGGAAGGGGGAGGCGTTGACCGATGAATGTGGCATACGTGTTCGCTAATTTTCCCGAGGCCTGCAGGACGAGGATAAATCAGTTTCACAGATTTCTGGAACACCGTCAGAGCGTTCCGGAACGCTTCGGGAAGGCCGCGGTGCCCGAGACATCCTCGAGGGCCGCCCGATCTCACAAGTTTGTTTACTTATCCTCACCCGACGTTATCCTCGTCCTAGTTCTTTCTTACATCACGTGCCGCTGGACCCACCGCCGCGTTACGCTAAGCACAGGTTCCCGACCCCAGGCTCAGGGAGATAGCCCCGATTCCCAAGCGCCAAGCGGGCCTAACCCCTCCCCCACCCCCACCCGCCCAGGAACGCGTGTGGGCGACGCAAAACATGGGGTAGTCTGCGCTGACATTCTTGCGTAAGCTGCCCGCGTAAGCTCGAGCGTAAGCGCCCTCGTCTCCAGCGCAGCGTGTCGCGCTGGCGGCCCGCGTAAGCCGCCGCATACGGTCGCTGTGTCATCTCGCGTAAGACGCGTTTTGGCC